GGGAATAACTTGAAATTTCGGAAAAAATACATCTCTTTGTTTAACACCCTGTAGTATAATGATATGTGCAAAATATCGTATTCCCAAAATTTGACATAAGAGTCAAAGAATCAGCTATTCAGAATTTCCAAAGATTTTCAAAATCGATTCAGTAATTTTCCAATAACGAGCTTTAAAATATTTTCCAAAAAACTAGGTGCGTCGATTTTTATGACGAGCAGTTTAGTTTAATTGCGACGTAATTTATAATCTTAAAATATTCGTACATTGTGACATTGTGATGCTAAAAAGCTAATATTAAGAATAAACACGGAAGAGTTTCAATACTCGATAAAATGTTCAAATGTAGCACCCGTTACACTTTGAGAAAATTTTAGAAAATAAAGTATACAATTTTTGTGTACTTAAAATACGTGCTTGTTTAAGATTACTATTCAAGTTTTACACAAAGAATTATTTCTATACGCTTTTATCCAAAATTGGTCTCATCTGCTGATTCATGACGTTATAAATAGGGATGCACCGGAATTCCGGCGGTACCACTAAATCCGGCCGATCCGGCCAGTTGGCCGGAATTACCGTTCCGGCCGGATCGCTTTCCAGATATATTTTGTAATTGGTCAACAGTAAAGAGTCTGCGTGTTTCCTTGCCTATGATAGACCGGCGACTGTGGTTCCCCGACTTCTTTTTAATTTTTTTTATTATTGGCAGGTGGCTGCTATTCTCCAATTGAATGAGTAGAATTGTTTTAATTTTGTTAACGCTAATTAAAAATTAATATTTAAATAAACAGTAATTTCTATATAGGTAAAATTAATAGTAATAAACACTCTGCATACTGTAGCTAGTTTAAAAAAAAGTAAAAATAAATCAGCATTAATATTTTCAATGATTTACATATAAAAATAGGCATGCACAAACATTTTAAATTTAGGTCCCGATCCGGCCGGAATTCCGGCGATCCGGTCCGGCCAGCGGCCGAAATTCCGGTTCCGGCCGGATGGGCAAAATACCAGATCCGGTGCATCCCTAGTTATAAATGTTTTTATTGACATTTTGTTTGAGTTGAAAATCTAATTTTTTTGTATTTTTTTTGTGTATTAACGTATCTTGATATATATGAACAAACACTTTTTTATCATGAAAAAACGCAGTGTCAGTGTCGCACCCGTTACAATGGAAATACCATATAGTTACCATATAAACGACTACACACTTGACGACATGGTTTATTTCACTTCGGTTTTTCGGTGGGTCCAACAAAGCAAAAATAATGAATAATAATATCTAGAGCCATGATTTACTAACGGTTATGACAGTTACTGTCATAACAATCGTCAATTAAAATTGCAATGAATCGTTTCGAAAAAGCTTCAGGTATAGAAATAAGCGAAGTAATGAATCTTTTGGAAGAGCAAACATACGAGCTATTACTATTACTATGTCAGCATTGTCAACTGGGCGAAATTTAAAAAAAAATTTCCTATAATTTAGTACTCATTTAATGCTAATTTAGTGCCACAATTGCAAATTTAATGTTTTTCATAAAACTAAGAAAATTCATGCAATGGTAAATTTTAATTAGGTTACCATTGTATAAATAAAAATCCATGAATAAGAATTACGTATAAAGGAAACTAAAACGTGATCAATTAGTGCTCAAAAAGTGCTATCGGAGTAACGTCAAGTGAATCGAAAAATATTTTTTTTTGGTCAAAAAAATTTTACATCTTTTTTTTTAACATAAAAATGCTACCTTGATATATCCTTAATATATATATATATATATATATATATATATATATTAGGGTGTGTCATTTTTAGGTGACATTTTTTTTTTCGCTGTTATACCAGAAAATCTAATAATTTATAGAAAATAAAAAATTATGCCGCCGGGTAAAAGGTTCTAAGTGCAATAGCGGCTTAGCTCATTTAAAAATTCAATTTCCCATTGAAATAACACCGAAAATTTTTTTTGTTCGTTTTAATTAGATTTTTCGCTGTTAAAAACTTTTTTCCCTAAAAACTTTTTTATAGCTTTTGTAGGAAATTAAATTCTCTACAAAATCATCCCTTTGCTCGAAGAAAAATAAAATGGAATTTGAGGTCTATTTTTATAAAAGTTTATATTTCCAGCGCTATAACTCTGAAACTACTGGTTATACGGTCTTCGAGCAAAGGGATGATTTTGTAGAGAATTTAATTTCCTACAAAAGCTATAAAAAAGTTTTTAGGGAAAAAGTTTTTAACAGCGAAAAATCTAATTAAAACGAACAAAAAAAATTTTCTGTGTTATTTCAATGGGAAATTGAATTTTTAAATGAGCTAAGCCGCTATTGCACTTCGAACCTTTTACCCGGCGGCATAATTTTTTATTTTCTATAAAGTATTAGACTTTCTGGTATAACAGCGAAAAAAAAAATATCGCCTAAAAATGACAAACCCTAATTTAATTTTAAAAAGCAAACATGAAAATACGAATTTAACGAGCAGACTTGGCTGTTATAATATATTCTCAAAGACTAGGCTTTCAACATATATTCCATTATATAATTATTATAAGGAGGGAGTTGTGAAGACGATTTGAAATATTTCTTAGAAAAAGTACTTCAAAAGTTCTAATCGGAAGACCCATTCAAAGCATAGTTTTTGAAGATGTCAGAAAGGCTGGTGCGTCCAAAAGAAGGATAACGCTTCCAGAGAAAACAAAATTTAGTTCTGCAGCCCTGACAACTGAAGATTGTGAAAAACAATCCAACAATATATTCTTTAAAACTACATAGGGCGGAGAAAACATACCGCTGCATCTAAATTGTTAATATCGAACAAAGATTTTAAGCAAAAGAACATCAAATATCAAAACGAATCGATTGTTCTTAACTCCAAATGGAAAAAGACAGGAATTTTGTATAAAAATTTTTGGGTATTAACCAACTCAATAACGACACGCAGTATATTGGGATTAATATCAAGAAGATAAAAATAACCAATCACTCAAATCGTTTTTTCGCTGTAAGCAATTTTATAAAATCTGGAGCCAACTTACAAGAAGTTATTAATATTTCTGATCATTATATAACTGAGTCTCTCAAGCTATGCAAGGAACATCTCCTTAACATTAAAAAAAAAATGAGAAAAATAACCCTGCCGTGCACTAGCATTACTTGTACGTTCAATAATAATACAAAATAAATAATAATAATTTATTATCAGTCTATTTACGTGGTAAATTCTGGGTTGTTTTTTTATTTGCCAAAAAACAAGCGAAAAGCGGATTTTATAATTCTTAAAAAAATTCTCTTTATTAAATTTTTAAAGTCATTTCGGCAAACAAAGTAATTGTAGTAGGAAACTTTTTTTCTGTTTTTAAGTATCTCAAAAGGCTAACTTCGTTATCCATTTTTTTTGTTTTACGACTTATTTCGGTCTGCCCTTAATGCACGACCTAGGCCATAAATAATCAAATCCGATTGGTGTACACCAATTTTTAATGTATAGGACATAATCAATCACTTTTGTAACGAGTGTTGACAACAATAAAGTATAAATTATATTAAATATTGAAGAAAAAAGACTTTTAGATCCGTTGCTTTCCTAAATAATAAAATATGTGCAGCAAATTGTAGATGACATAGGTATATGTCAAATAAAAAAAATTAAATGTCAAAATTTTCTTTTCACATTTTAACCTGGGATACAAATTCCAAAAAAATGTTGTTTTCGTGGGTAAACGGGTATAAAAAAGCAATTTATCCATCCCCTTATGCGTTTTAAATGCCAAAATTTTAATTTAACATATTGCAGTCATGTTATGTAGGAATAAATATAACGTGTAAACTACAGCGGTAAAGTGCACTTTACCGCTGTAAATCATGATTTTTTCAGGCATCAAATGCCACTTTACCGCCCTGGTCTACAATTTGCTATTTTTATAATTGTTTATGTTTATAAGTGGCCAAAAAAAAATTAAAAGTTTTTGTATGCAACATATAAAAAGATTTTTAATTAGATGATGTGGAATTAAATTAAAGTTATAAATGATAATTTTATTCATTACATATTTAAAATAAAATATTGCACTGTATCCAAGGGAACAACAATAATAATAAATAACAAACAATTGCAATTATTTATAAACCCACATAATCTTATTATAATTTTGATTAATTAACAAAATTTGTTTTTAGATTTGTAAATTTCCAATATATTGTTGCTTAACAAGTTTTATTTTCAAACAAAGCAAACAATTGTTTAAAAGAAATAAATGTTTAACCCATATTTGGTTTTATCTAAATTGGCATTTGCCATTCAGGTAAAATATATAATTACCATTAGACAGATGTATCAGGAAACCTTATCCACGTATACTATTTTCGATAGCAACAAAAGAATATTTTTGAACTTATTCATTAAAGATTAATTAATACAAGATGTTTTTGTTTTAAAACACAATGAACAGTAAAAAAACAATTAACCATTTATTAATGAACCGCAGCTTACTATGGTCTATATTAATAATATTGAATAGAAATATAATAATTATGTTATAATTTTAGTACAATGTATTGCAGATAAACTTACCATGTAAATGACCTTTACAATAAACATACATTTCACAAGAGGGCAGATTGATTACAAAATTAATTCTTTTTAGGTACATTATTTTAAAGAATCCAAGGAACCAAACATAAAACTTTATGTTTGGTGTGAATCATGTTTGTTAAATTTTTAGATCAATATTTCATACTTTCTGATAAATAAATTATTATGATAAGTACTTATTTTTTAAAATAAAATATGCAGTTCAGACAAAAATTACAGGATATAATAACTATTATTATTATTATTTTTTTATTATAGGTTTTTAAAAGAACCTTATACAGATACCCTGTATAAGATTGACAACATTTAGGCTAAGAAAATGCCCTTTTTGACGATCTACATAAATACACCAGAACCATTTAAAAAAATGATTTACCATTTTTATTTATTTTTTCAGGTACACAAGAAATTTGGTTGACACTGGAAATGGTAAATACAACCTTATTGCCCTTTGCTGGGGCGAAGGTCATGGTTCTTCAATTCACGACCATTCCAACTCGCACTGTTTCATGAAAATTCTGCAGGGATCCCTGGATGAAATCAAATTCGCTTGGCCTAAAGAAAAAGGGCAACAGCTCGAAGAAATCGAAAGGAAAAAAATTGAACTCAACCAAGTCGCCTATATGAATGGTAAATAATATTCAAAACAGGGTTCGCAGATATATATCGGATATTTATATAAATATCATAAAATTTGCGAACCTTAGGGTTTGCAAATATATATTACTCGATTTATATTGAATATTTATTATGGATATATATTGAATATTTATATAAATTTGATATGAAATGATATTTTCGAACCCTGATTCAAAAGCTTTAATAATTTTTATAAATCGTTAAAAATGTGTCAGAAGGCTTTAGGACAGATATAGGTACTACAAGAAATAAATGTTATTGTCTAAATATTATTTTAAAAAACTCGTTTATATTATTATTTTTATTAATTTATTTATTACATTTATATATTTTCATATATATAATATATATTTTTAGAAGTTAAGCTAATATTTGCTACACTTCTTATACATATATATATCGTACCAAAACTTTTCATTGTGAAAATGTTAAGGGTTTTATTGAGAAATCTTACGATTTTATAACTCTTAATTCAAGATAAACATATCATATTTTTTAGATTCTCTTGGTCTTCACCGCGTTGAAAACTCATCTAACGTAGACACTGCCATAAGCTTACATCTTTATTGTCCGCCTTACAATAAATGTAAGGTATTTAACCAAAATACTGGACAAACTAGTTCATCCACTGTGACATTTTATTCCACATTTGGAAAAAGAATTAAGGTATGTTTGTAAACCAAACAAAACATTTTATTTAAATTAATTGATTTTATAATTTTTTTTAGGAAAACAAGGAAATTATTGAACCAGAAGATAACTGATAAATTTACTTTCAACTAATAAATACTATTAAATGGAATTGTATAGTGTTTCCATTACCAAATAAAACTAAATTAAGCTAATAGTTTTTGTTTTATTTACCTACATGTATAAAAAATTATAAAATAGTATTTTAGAATTTAAAAGAACCAAAATTGAAGTTAAAAGTATTCACAGAACAGGAATATTTAGTTTTTGTTATATTTGGTCTATGTAGGTACTAAATTTGTGTCTACTGAATTTTTTTCATATCTTGCTTCGTTTAAAAGATATTAAGGATGTACCCAATTTGTACCTACCGATACACCCATGGAAATGCCATCAATGTATACCCAAGTACCATAGATATCAAAAAATAACGCGGTTTAATGTCGCGTGAAATTGCAGCTGGTATACAATAATTAACGCTACCCCTTTAAAAAAATTGTAAAACAAAAATGTAAGTTTTAAAAACCAAAACGTAAGGTTGAAAGGTAAGTAAGCCAAATTTATTTAAAGTGAGGAAGACAAATATTTTAGAGAATTTTCATTTTCATTAATTAATTTACTAAACAAATGCTTTCCAGTTTGAACCGTTTGGCAGCCAAAATTCACATTCGATGGCATTCTTTTTTATGTAGGTTTTTTGGCCCGCCAAAATCACAATAAATTTTTTGTATGGCTAGGCTTTTGAGTTTGAATTTTTAATATTTTTTATTGGTTTTTTAAATGCAGCTAAATAAATTGGCACATATTTTAAGTTAAAAATGGCCAACCTGGTTGCAAAAGGTGTCAAATTAATCATAATCGAATCGCAGACCATAATGCCCAATCAGTTTAAGTGCAATGGGCTTGAATATCGATTTTTTTTTATTTTTGGACAAAAATAATGCAACCTTATCGTCAACTTTTCGTTTATTTTTGTAATTTTACGTTATTTATAGGGTATTCTGTAGTTTTATGCAATGTATTTACAATCCAATTCGAGAAAAAAATTTGTCATTATTTATTATTATTATATAGATATTATCTTAATGTAGTAAATATGGCAATTTCTTAGGTTAATAAAACTGTTTTCATTTATTTTATTGTGTCAGATAGGACAGTATATTAAAAATTAAGATGTTCCCGTCTTCTGTTTAACTTATTTTTTCATCTTTGGATTTAACAATCGTCAAACATTGGCTGAAGATTTATGCAAAAATTGGTATTTGTTGTATTATTTTACATAACATGTTTGGTCTCACAACTTTTATTACTTTTATCAACATGCGTAAATATATCCCTGAGAATCCATTCATTTAAATGAATTCATTCAAACTTTTTTTCTCGAATAATTTCAGTAACCAGAGTCCATGATTTTTAGATGAACAAATGGTGAGAAATTATATTTGGTTCCTCAAAAGAAAAGCAGATACCGTAAACACGGGTGACTTTAACCCTTTTATGAAAAATCTTTTCGCGCTCGATAAAATTAACATTTATAATTGGTTGGTCTAAACCTGCCAATTGAGCGATTCTATTGAGTTTATATTACAGGAAAATCAGTGTTTTAAAGAAATAAATGGGATTTATTACACTTTAAAATTGTATATATCGCATTAGTGCAAAACACTTAGAAATACACGTGTTAGAATTTCTATAGTATGCGCAATCCTTTGGAATGATTATCCTTGGTTAACTACAGGTCGATTTTTTATTTTTTTTATCGGTAATCCCTTGCAATGGATATATGTCGCTGCTAAAATGTGTCTAATAAAAATAAAATAAAATATTGAGTTAATTTTATACGGAAAATACACTGTGAGACAAAGTTACCCGCAAACAGGGGGTAACTTTGCACACCCAGTTTTTAATTTTTATTTTTGAAACTCTATGTAAGATTATAACATAGTTATTATGAAAGAGCAACTCAATACTCAAATTTTGGTTATCAATATTTAATGTTTATGATTGTTAAAACTACAAAAATGTTTTGATTAAATTTGAAAGTGAGCTAAAGCCACCCGTGTTTACGGTACTCTCTGTCCTAGAAACATTTATCGCTGTTCAGAAAGATTCAAGGTCAAGACATATGAAAAACGAACTAGCCTTAAACATAGGTGATGTTTGGATTGTCGTTGGGTGAACATACATGTTAAGAAATCGATGTTTACGAACAGCAAGAAAGGGAATAGGCCTCTAAGACACTCTGTATAGTGGCAAAACCGTATATTGTTCTAAATTAAGTTTTAATTATCAAGTCACGTCTATTCTTAACAGTTTTGTTTTTGGTTCACCTCGATATATTTATTTTTGTGGAAAATATGGATTTAAAAAAAACATTGCATTTCCCAATATTTTTCTATAAAGAACTAAGATTGCCACCCATAGCCTATGAAGGATGACAGTGACAGTTTTGTTGAATCACCCCATGTATGTCATATACGGCTTTCAAAAGCTATCAAATTGTTTTTTGTAAACTAAGCCTCCTCTATAGGCGAAAAACGTTCTCCTATATGAGAACGTTTTATATATAGATTCTTTAACGACCGTCTGGTGATTGTAAACATTTTTCCATTCATCAATCTAATGTGTTCAACCCTGTGGTTTCTTAGCAACTCGGGTGCGGTTGCAGGTCTTCTTGCGTATAATCCAGTCAGATAACCTTCTTCTTATCGTTCTCTCGCTTACCTGTCGTACGTCCTCCATTTAGGGTTACCATAATCTGTCAAAAAAAATCGGGACATTTTGTATGAATTTACCTTAATTACAAAATTGACATAATAATACAATGCAAATTGTAAGTTTGACGTTACCTAATTATTGTTGATTGTGTCATTTTTGTAATTAAGGTTAATTCACACAAAATGTCCCGATTTTTTTTTGACAGAATCTGGTAACCCTACCTCCATTCTGTTTTTTTACCTCCACAGATGTTACTCTTCGGTCACGTAAAACATTAAGTCGAATAAAGCGATCAACTCGTTCATTCATACACCTCTTCCTACCACATTGGCTTTTGAAAGCCGTATATGACATGTCCAAGTATGGGATGATTCAACAAAACTGTCACTGTCATCCTCCATAGGCTATTGATGGACCATAGCCACCTTAGTTCTTCGTACAGAAAAAATATTGGAAATTGCAATGTTTTTTTTTAAATCCATATTTTCCAGAAAAAAAAATATATCAAGGTGAACCAAAAAGAAAACTGTTAACAATAGATGTGACTTGATAATTAAAACTTAATTTAGAACAATATATGGTTTTGCCACTCTACAGAGTGTCTTAAACTTATGGTAAAAAACATCTTTTTGTTTAAACCTGTATATTATAAACGTACGTCTACTTTATAGTAAATTTTTAAAATGTGAGCTATTCTCCATTAATTTATCTACAATATTCTTTAATAAATAATATCAAATAAAAAGTTATTTGCGATTAAAATTAATCGAAAATTTGTGTGGATCAATTAATTTGCCTGTGAGTGTACCTTATTTCCTTTGTAAAAGTGCAAACAAGGAATTTTTGTCAATATTCCAGCCCATTGTACTTAAACTAGTCAACTGCTTTGGCATTAGTGATATTTTTCGGCGATTTGATTATGTTTAATTTGAATTTTTTTGCAACCAGATTGGCTGTTTATAACTCGAGATATGACCTAAATTGTAAAGCTACCTTAAAAAAAACAATGAAAAAAATCATAACTTAAAAACCTTGCAATGTATATTTATTTTTTTATTAATTTGTAAACCTGTGTATTCAACTGGTAGATAATAAAAACCAAAATACTTTTAGGGTAAAATAACTTTCGAAATTCCCTGGTAAAGTCTTGAGACTAAAACCTGGAATACCCTGTATATTTAGATGTATAAATAAAACATATATTCTAATATACATTATATTATAGGAAATAATAAAAATAACATTACATTAAAGTTATTACATAACTTTAAATAAAATTTAAAACATGCGAATTTACAATTAGCACTTTTAACACATGAAAAATTTGGGATGATTGTAAATACAATTGCCTTAACGAAACATTGGTTTTAAATGGTTGCTAAAATGTATTTACATTTATGATATGCAATGAATTTTTAAATAATAATAATAATCCAATTGATACAATTAGACCAAAATAGAAGTTTCTTTTAAAATTTAATATACTGTTAGATTTTAAATTTAGAGCAAGTATTGTTTTATAGTTAAAATGCACCAATATAATATTTCATTATTACAAGAATAATCTTAAAATATAAATATATTTTAAGGGGCATTTTACTGCTATTGCATTTAAGTTAAAATTACCAGGTTAGTTTTAAACAAAACCCATTTTAGGGTTAATATGGGTATTTTTTATTTGGGCTGTACACATTTGATTTGTATTAGGTATTAAATAGTAATTTATTTTATAAAACTACAAATATTTTTTTTAATTTGGAGCCCAAATAAAATTCCTTATATATTAATTGAGTATTATATGAAAAAGAAGTGGTTTTTGATAAACTTTTTCAAATATGGAAAAATATATTATACCTACCTTTTTTATAAAGAAGTGTCAATTATAACACTTGCAAAATCCAATTAAAAAATGTTTCACCCTAAATATTTGACAACAATGCTAGACAAAAGTACAATGCCCCTTAAAATTGTTTCAAAAACTCAAGTATATTTTGCACTGGTTGGTTCGTCCAAGAGAGATTTACAATCGGGGGGAAGGTGATAGTTTTGAAGGTCTAAGTTGTGGAACTGTTGATTTCCTTTTGGAGGTCAGAACTTGAGATCCTTTATTGCTTGCGGAAGATCAGGCAATTTAATGTCTTTGATTTGCTGTGGAATGTTCATGTTCTTGACCGCGGACACGGCGCGCGCCGGCGCTGCTGCTATTCCCGCCTAAAATTAAATGTATATTATTTTAATAAATCTCACCAAAACATTTCCAACAATCCTAGATTATCAAATTGAAACTTAAGTCCTAAGTCAATGGTGCTGAGTCACAGGCATTGATTTTCGAGGTAATATTTTTATTGAAATGTACAAAAGTCTAAGTTATCTACAATAGTATTAGGGCTGTACCAAGTGTTGAGTGGTTTGGTGCTCGGCCAGAATTTTTACCGAGTAATGAGTTTTTGGTGCTCGGTCTTATATTCATTACTCGGCCAAGTAATGTAGAATAGTAGAAACAATCCTTTTCGGCATGTCAAAAACGTAAGAAATGAGACACATAATAGCAAATAAAAAATAAACAAAAAAGTAAAAAAAACCATCACTCCAATTTTTAATAATATACTTAAGGTTTAAGCAAAGTAACAATAAGTACCTAATTAAATTTATTAAGACAAAATACTGTCTACAATGTGAAATATTTATTGATGTTGGCAAAACATCATTGATCTATAGCTGAGGAATCCCAGCCGCCCAAAATCATACGCCTATAGTTACTATAGTATAGTAATACATAAGTTTTGTGTTACTTTTAACTTGTTATTTTATAGTATCTTGAGTATGTATTTTATATGTTAAAAAAAACAGGACTCGGTGCAGCCCTAAATAGAATAGCACTTTATTGCATATTGTTATTTGACAGCAAAGCTTAAATTTGTCTGTATTATTTTGTTTTTTCTGCTAGTTCCACAAAAATATGGATTGCGGGAACAGTGCTGTGCATTATGGGGAATATTATGTGCTACTACAGGGTTTTAAGTGCATCTTTTATTTTGTAGATAAATAAAGGAATATCCATCTTTTACAATCAGACAGCACTGTCAAACACCACAGATTAAAAATAAACAAACATTGCTGCAAACTGAAAACTCTGCCATGTGATTGGATGGAGTAGCGGTAGCGGTAAGCAAATATGAAAGATGGTCATCTCTTGCCGCTAAGTTCTGGCCTTTACTTTTCTTACCGCTACTTCTAACAACTATAAATTATTTCTTATTGATTAAATATTCGATAATAACTATTACTTGTACAGTTGTATTCAATAAAAAAGCGTACAAGAATTAGAATGAGAGAAAACTGTCAAAATAATATTATTGCTTAAAACCGGCTTATCACTGACATAAGTCATTAAAATAATTACTATAGGTTATAAAGAGCATTGACGTCGTAGGTTAATTAAATAATATTACAAAAATTATTAATTTTTAATATAGATTTTTTATTTCTATTATACCACGGTACGAATTGACCATTCTTCTTCGATTCTTGATACTATTTAAGCCTTTTTAACTGACGAGGCATTTTTATTTTCTACTGTCAGTTATAGTGACTTAAGTCAGTGGAAAGCCGGTTTTACGCAATAATGTTGACAGTTTTCTCTCATTCTAATTCTTGTACGCTTTTTTAATGAATACCATTGTATGTCATAGATTTTATTGCACTATGACAAATACATAAAATGGAAAATCAATTTTAAATACTCATATTTCCCTCAAAATAACAATATTTCCTCACCAACACAAGTACTTTGGGTAACACGTACTTTATATTATTTTAAATCAGTCGTCAATATTAGTTATTTGTATTTAATTTTACATATTTAATTTGGTTAAACGTTAGTAAAGTAGAATTTAAATTTAGTTAGGAATTAAACCTTTAACATGTATTAAACATGTTACAAATGTCAAAGTTATGTTTTATTTTACAGACAAAGTAATATTTGTACCATTTATTTAATTTCTAAAATAAAAATATTGTAGATAAACTATTAGTTTAAACGATAACACTGTAGGTAAATTTTTAACTTTTGAAATATCACAGCTAAACGCTCGGACACGTACCTAAACATAATTTTTGGTCGTAATCCGTGCTCAGTTTAGCTGTATCAGGTCAAAAAAAGTTTTTCCTATTGGAAATCCGATCCGGGGACACACTGTAAACTGGTATAGGTATTATAATTTGTAAAATAATATAATTCACCTATTTTGCCAACAGTTTTATGCTTTTTATTTCATTTAATATAATATCCTCAATTATACTCAAATTTCCTAAATTATCTAAGAAAAACCCTTAGGGACACGTGTAACTTTTGATCAATTAACTTCAAATTTTGCAAGAATTTGTTATTTTTTAAATTTGGAACTGATGTGTGGGTCCCGCCAAATTTAATTTAAAAAAATTATACAGGGTGTTTCCATTATCTTTGAATTTTGACCTGATACAGCTAAACCAAGCACCTTAAGCAGCGTATACGATACAAATGTAGTAACGTGATAACTGGTTAACGCCGTAAAATAATAAAAAATCAATCGATTCTAAACGTGACAACTGTCCCAAGTGCAAAAAAGTGCAAATTGTGTGTGGTACCTCCCCCATTGATTAAATCCTCAAGTGTTGGACCTGGTTAAAAGGTGTGAGAGAGACGACACTTCCACGAAATTTACTGGACTCAAGCTAAGTTATTTTTTCCAATTGCATGTCTTACCGTATATTCGCTAAATGTTTATAAAAGCATTTCACAATGTTTATGTAAGCATTTCACAATGTTGCAAAAAGAAAATACTAAGAATTCTTTTATTGTCTCAAAAACTAAATTAAAAAAGAATAAGAACATTTCCTTAAGTTTAAACAAACAACCTCATTTTCTCATAGCAGACAAATCATAAACAACCATCGAAAAAGGCGTAAGATAAATAAATAAATAAACTAAATATGCAAGAAGACAAAAAACATAAACAAGTTGAGTGTGAATAGCAGTATTGCCAGATGTAAAAGTTGAAATTAACGAATTGGGTAAATAAAATTATCGAATTTTCGGAATTAAGTTACAATAATTGTAATAATTATGTAACAATAATTATTATAATTTAATCATAAAAAAAAAGTAAAAGAGAAAGAAGCGAACTTTAGAAAATTATAAAATTTGTAAAAGTAAAAAAAATACCCCCACTGGGAACTGCCTTATCGCAGTGATTGCGGCCTTACGCTCGGCACGAGTGATGGGCTCCTCCGCGGGGGGGTGCAGCCTCCCGTGGCCTATACGGGGGATGGTCTACACGGCGGTAGTCGTAGCACGATTGCCGTTGTGTGGATTGTCTTCCGGGGGGGCCGCGGGGGGTTGTATTTCTTTGCGGGGGAGTTTATCATGTGTGCCGATTATCGTACCAATGGGAAAAACCATTACCAAAAGGGTAAGAGTAGCCCAATTAAACACTGGGTCCACGTCACTCGTAGACAACGCAACAAACTACAAGCCACCCTTAAACTAGATCTTAAAGACAAAAAAAATCGGTAGACCATGCTTCATTTCATGACACGTAGCACAATACATGAACTTCTCACAAAGTAACAAGACCAGTTGGGAGCAACTAAACAACAATAAAAATAAAATAAAAAAATAATAAAAAAAAAAAAAAAAACAACCGACACACTTTACCAAGTTCAGGAACTATCCGACACGGATAATGACAATAATGAACAAGACGAAGACCTCGACTAGGAAACTACACCCCTGCAGCGTAATAACAACTCCCCAACTCCAAATAGTAATCCCAAATGTTTGGAGTAATACTAACCGACTGGTCTAGGGGGATTCCGCGTCGTACTTAGTTTTAAGTCGGCGTAATTGTCCCCCAAAAACCAACTCCCTCCCGTCCCTCATCCATACCTCACTGAGCGTATAGCATAGGCCCGGCGAACCCGGGAACGGCTATTATAACTATTCGCCTCTCGCTCTCGAGCCCCAAATAGGGGACAGTACAGAACGCAATGGACATTCGCACCCAGCAAACACGGGTGAAGCCGTGCAGTTGCTGGGGAAGAACAAAAATCGGCGTAAGTAAACATAGGCCTGTACGGGGTTTAAGAGTCAAGAGGAAATGGGGCTGGTTATACGTCTCTTATACTCATACTCATACTCATATACTCATACAGCTAAACCAAGCACGGATTTGTAATCTACGACCAAAAATTAATGTTTACGTGTCCGAGCGTTTTAGCTGTGATATTTTTCACTTCCCTACAGTGTAATTAACCATAAACGCAATTTATTATATAATAATAATTGATTATTTGGACTAAAATGTCTTAATTTTGTCAAAATTTTAAAAAAATTTAATAACAATAAAGATTAAGATTGAGTTTTTTTTTAGTACATGATACTACATCCATAAGTCTCTTTTTAGAATTTAATATATTACATATTTTTATTATAATAAATATTTAAAAATCATCCCTGTCAGTCATTCCCTGATTTTGTAATTATTTTAAATTTCTTAAGAAAAGTAAAACTTATTTTCAACGAATTTCTGTGATAAGAAATAATTTGCTCAGTACAAAAAATCCGAACTGAAATTTCGGATTCTGATGAAGAACGGTATCTAAATTTTGCGTCAAACCTAGGAGAAACGCGTTGTTTTAAGTATGTTTAATGTATGTTGTTTTATAAAAAAGCACCAGAACAAACAAAATATAAACATTTTAATTGCTAAACGTTGCATAAACTAGCGTTACATTCTCATAAAAACTTGTTCAAAATGTTTAAATCAAAAAGTAGGGTTTAAAAATTTACAGAAATATATAATAAGTCCTTCAAAAACGTTTCTATGATATAAAATAATTAAACCAGTGTACAGTGAGTTGAAGCTGAACATTATTTTAAGTTTAGGTTATAAATTACAGAAAACAGTGACATATAAAAATAATGTTCCATTAAGTTATTTGTTAAATGTAGCAGAAATAGACGTAGGAAGTTTCTATATTTATTTAGATCAAATTTTGTATTCTGCAAGGGAAAAAGATTTTCCGTGCCCATTCGTCAAAGCATTATCTTAATCGAAAATTGATATAAAACAAAAAATCTTCTTATTGTAAAAGTTTAGGATTGTTGGATTAAATATACATTAATTTAACAATACAAGAGCATAAGAGCATAGCAAACAGGACAGCTTCTTATACATAAAAAAATATTATGCGCCTTAGTCCTACATAAATTTTGAATAAAACCATTTTTATACATTATTTGATGTACCTGAGAAACAAATTTTATAATAACCAAAATTTATGTAAAATTAATAATTTAGGAGATAACTGAGAAAACTATTTTATGTGAACCTTAACAATTGTCCTTTGATATCAGTAACGCCAATATGATTTTGCTTAGGACTTTTGATTAAATTTTTCGAATAAATGAAAATTTGTAAGAGTAAATCTGCCTTTAAATTAAACATAATAAAACACTTCTAGCAAATAGCAAATAACAAGAACCACAAGCAATCATGCAACTATACAAATAAAAGACAATAATATAACAAATTTATATAAGTGCATTGTAAAACTTACTAATAGTGATCAGAATAAATACAGAACAACTGAGTTTTCTACACTAGAATTGCTAACCCAAAACTTATTGTACATGAAAATAAATAAAAGCCTGTTAAAATAAATTAAAAACACCAGTACAGCAAAAACACAAAATTTTATAAAAAAATTACCTCTTGTTTCTCAAGTTTATTTTGGTCTTCTATCCTTGTAAGATTTTCAGTCATATTGGTCTCTAACACCATACCTCCCATAACAAGTTCATTTAATATGTAATGCACCTTATCCACATGAAATATTAAATCTAACTCGCAAACATTTTTCAAAACATTTTATCGAGTGTGTTCTACGAAGAACTTGAATTAAATCAAAATTTCCAAGCTCGCTTTTCAGATGAGTCAACGCAAAATACAAAATATAGGGTTTGCATAATGACGATATATCAGCTTATAGTCACTTCCACCAATAAGGCTAAAAAATAAATCAATTAAAATTAAAAAAACCAAAATATCCATACATGTTGACAATTATTTGGATATTTTTAGTTACCTTCCACCTTCCAAAAAGTTGCAAACATTATCGTCTCGCTTTGAAACTAATTGAAACGTTTCTTTAATTATCTGTTGTTGCATGTCCTCAGGCTAAAGACAACATTTTTTAATTGCTAAAAACATAACCTAACCTATAACTTACAAAATATTGTAAAACTTCGATATCTTGTTTTCATGATTGTTAAAAACTAAAATTGCTTTTATCATGTTGAATTATACTAATAAACTAATTTTAAGAGTATAAATTTCCTTCAACAACAATAAACAATCATTGAAAAGACATTTTTGGATTAAAATTGACAGATGTTGATGACATGACATTTTCCCCGCATCTAAGGCTCCAACATTTTTATTTTATTTTTTTATTCTAAAGAAAGAACAGATTAAATAACAATTTCATAATTAAAATTACGCTGAAATAATTAATTAACAAAAAGTTTTTTAATTTTAAATATAATTTAAACGAATAATACTATTTTTTAGTGCACTTTAGTCACATTTTTATGTTAGCTTAGGCCGTCATAGATGGCGGTGGCTGTACAGGCACCTGTAAAATTGCATTTAAATCCCCCTCTTTTGTTTTTCATTTGTCGAATTCCAAACTCACATTTTATTTCAATATGGCGTCATCTATTCACGAGCGAATGCTGTATGAGAGCAAAACGTTTGCGCGTTGATAGTGTTACGTTTTTTCAAAAAAATGGGTGTTTTTTTGACAAAATCGGTTTAGTTTGTGGTGTTTTTTTAAAATGACTCGGACAATGATATGTGTTTTTTCGACTTTGTTTTGTTTTTAGCGGCTAGTGCTACTGTTTTGACATCTTTGACGCAAGGTAACCGAATGGTTTTTAAATTATTTGTTTGTAGTTATTAGCGTGTATTTTTGATTTTTTATTTTTTTTATTTTTTTTTTTTTTATTTTTTTTTATGTTATTTTTTTTTTTTTTTTTTTTTTTATTATTTTTTTTATTTTATTTTTTTTTTTTTTTTTTTTTATTTTTTATTATTTTTTTATGTTTTTTTTTTATGTTTTTTTTATTTTTTTTTATTTTTTTTTTTTTTTTTTTTTTTTTAATTTTATCTATTTTTTTTTTTATTTTTTTGTTTATTTTTTTTATTTTGCGGATAATTAGGTAGTTTAGTTATTAAAGTTGTTAATTATTATGTTATTTTGTGCGCTTTTATTTATATTTTGATTGCCAAAGTTTGTTTATACTTTTTTATATCTAGCCTGTCCTGTTGTGTAGGGAAACTTAAGTGGTATTTATTTACATTTTTTATAGAATGTCGTACTATAAATATTTTGTTTATTTTTTATCGTTAAAATGAATTTGTTTAAATAGCATGGTTTAAATAAACTTGGAGAGTTTGATAAACCTTCATTATATTTAAATTTTCCATCAAACATATAAATACAAAGATCAAAATACCAAGTGGGTGGAACACCGGCTTAAAAAACATTATTGGTTATCAATTTTTAATGAATTAGGTAACTGAATTTATTTTTCCAGTAAAAAATAACACCGGCAGCCTGATCTTTATATGTAATAACTATTTCATGTCAAGTGGGTACCTTTGGGTGATTCCACCGAAATGGTACCTAAAATTAACGGTAAATTTAATAAAATAAAAATTTTAAACTACAAAACAACACTGGATATTAAAATTGAATCCACTTAAAAAAAAATTACCCATGTAAACAAAAATGATGTGTATTTTTGTATTATTTTTACTATTTTTATATTCAGTTGACTACGTCATATTTCTTGGAGCAAAATAAGTTACCTAATAAGTACTTACATTTACCCTGTATACCTAAATATATTTATAACTTTTTTGCATAAATACATTGTTTTTATGTTTTATCTACTACCATGTGTCCAAAATGGCAGACGCCCCCTTCTTTTTGGCCGATTAAGTTTTACTGTTAATATGTATAATATTCCTCTTTCGCTCGCTATAATCCCTTTTCAATCGATGCCAGTCAAATAAGCATTAAATGTTATGTAGGGGTGGGTTTATAACATCCATACTGCCACCCAATCTTAATACTAAGCCCTGTATAATGCAGAAACGCAGCATTAATTTTAGCGCGTACACAAAATTCATATCGATAAAATTTACATACCCCTAGTTAATTAAAACTACCCTTAGAATGTGTTTAAGAAACTTAAGACCTGTTTATAGCTTCTCAGGTTTTTCATTATGCTAATATATTAAGCACAGGGTGTTTCTAAAATTCAAGAGCGTAGGCCGTTTTTTTAAATATCTATAAATTTATGTATCTTCTAATTTAAACTAAAGTTAAAAAATGGACCAAACAACTTGTTTTTTTACGAAATAAAATAAAACTATTTACTTAACTAAAAACTAAACAATAGATAAAGGTAATTCAATTTATAATTTGGGAGGTTTTTCGTTAAAGAATGGGATAAATTATTCATTGAATCAGACTGTGTGGCTATTACTAGAAATATATTTTTAAATGCATCCTACACATAAAATGCAGAACAAAACAAACACAGCATAACCTGAATTGAATTCCGCTTCAATGTAAGTATGCAAATATTTTCGCAAATCAGCTCGCAAATACATATTTCAATATAAAATTGGGCGAAATACGCTTAAATCAATGAATTTACCATTGTTTTAGTTTATTGTAACGCTGTGTTTTAAAATTAAAATATAATTACCTATATATAGGTATATATATGCTTAAATAATATTTTTTATTAGTTTTTATTATTAGGTACAATTGGCGTCTCCGAAATGTGAACGATTTTTTGTTGTCATGGATTTTTTTCATAAAATTTATTCGTTCATTCCTGGCTTCGGCCAGTGGTGTTACATATAGAAGGGAGAATACTAAGAATAAGAACAATATCCTAAATCGTTCTATTTTTTTAATAATATTTTAACAAACAATAATATAAACAATATAACAAATAAATTAACTTTAATTTGGTTTTATACAACAATATAAATTAACAAGTAGGTAAATACACAATAAAAATAACATAACTAAATTAACATATTGCTCAAGAAAATTGGTTTTTAAGTGAAATAGCGGCAGATTTAAATGTCAGTAAAAGCTGCATATTTTATATCAAAAAACGTTGGCAAAAACAACAAAGATTGAGAAGACCTATCAGGCAAGGTGTAGGTAAAATCTCCAACGAAAATGAAGACAATGCTCTTGTCGCACTTATTAGGCAAAATCCTTTCAATAGCGCATTTAAGGCCCGAGAAGATACACAATTTCCAGGATCTCTTCGAACAGCTCAAAAAAGATTGAAACAAGCTGGCTTAAAAAACTGTGCTGCTAAGCTATTTTAATACTTAATTGCAGAGCCATTAGCTGCCACAACCCTTTGCAACCTTCTTGGCATGGACATTATTAGCTCACGCATGTCGTATGAATCAGCAAGCTCATCCCAAGAATTTTCAACAGCACTCCATAGTTCATCTCGGTTTGCTGGCCTAAAGTCCCGTTGATATATATTTTTAACTATAAAACCCCACACGTTTTCAATGGGGTTTAAGTCAGGGCTTCTAGCTGGCCATGGCAAAACAGTTATGTGGTTGTTGTTTACCCACTCTGTAACCACGCGAGCTGTGTGAACTGGTGCATTGTCCTGTAATATAATATTTATTAGAATCGTTTTTGAATACTATACAGTTTTCTTACATGTTGAAATATAAAGTTTTCTGGAAACACATGTCTAACTGAAGGTAGCATAACGTTGTCCAAAATCCTGGTATAGTGCTCAGCCGTTAATCTACCATCAATTTCCCAACTTACTCCCGGACCATGGATGCTTATCCACGCCCAAACATTTATGGAAAAGCGTCCACTATTTGAGGTTTTTAATGTATAGTTCTCCTCAAATCTTGCGTTTCTTGGACGATATACACGCAGCCTTCCATTATTGCAAGATTGGAACGTTTTTTCATCCGAAAATATAACATTATTCCAAAAATCTTCTCCATAATTTAAATAGTCATTGGCGAACTGGACTCTCCTGCGCTTATTTTCTTCAGTTAAAAAAACCTTATGAGCAGCAGCACAGTTTTTTAAACCAGCTTGTTTCAATCTTTTTTGAGCTGTTCGAAGAGATCCTGGAAATTGTGTATCTTCTCGGGCCTTAACTGCGCTATTGAAAGGATTTTGCCTAATATGTGCGACAAGAGCATTGTCTTCATTTTCGTTGGAGATTTTTCCTACACCTTGCCTGATAGGTCTTCTTAATCTTTGTTGTTCTTGCCAATGTTTTTTGATATAAAATATGCAGCTTTTACTGACATTTAAATCTGCAGCTACTTCACTTAAAGACCAATTTTCTTCTAATTTGGCTATTGCCCTGGACCTCTGAGCCTCGGTTAAGTGGGGTGGCATTTTTAATATTGCAATTGACAACTATTATCAAATTTGACAACTACCGACGACACTGATGCAAAGCCCATATTACACGATTAAATTTTGCCGTTCACATTTCGGGGACGCCAATTGTACCTAAAATATTTAAATAAGATTTTAAACGATTTTTCTATTTGCAAAACTGTATGGAAGCCATTTTGGTTAAACATGTAGTTTTCTTACGATTCGAAATCATCAATACTTAAACCATTAGTAATTTTTAAAGAGAAAAAGAACGCTTTTGGGAGATTTAATCTTTAAATTGAATCTCAGATTCAAGTTTCAAATAACCTTTGAAGGCAAATCCCACCTTAAAATATTGGAGAAGGTGTAAATCCCTTGTAAAGACTTGGTCTTGGTTTATTACTGTCTAACTACCTACCCAAACATCTAAGTTGAAATTTTTATTATTGGACGAACATTTTTTTAGTTCATTACTTTTAATTAGTCCGGAAATACATTATGCTTTATTATAAAAAGGAACTACTTTATTTGATAGACACAATTGTATTGAATCTGCAATTTGTATTGTTGTCTGTGCTTGGTAAAATCAAATTATTCGTTGAGCATGAAGTAAGTTTTCTTATACACAGGGCGCTCGAAACAAGGAACACTTTTTATTTCAAAATATATTTTACCTAAAGGGAACATTGAGGTTTGCATTTACAAAACTATCCTTTTTTATTAAAAACATTAAAGTTACGTTAAAAATTACATGATTAAAATAAAAATGTATTACTTAATTATTGTCAATTTCATTCCGAAAAAAATATTTAAAATTCATTCAAATTTTAAAATTTCCGCCTCGATTTATGCTTTCGCTGTCAAACAGTCATAAAATTGCGGGGGTTTCGGTAGTTTTGTGAAAATTAAGTTTTTTGACAAAAATTTTTAGATTAAGGGCAAGATTTCAAGACGTAAAATACCTATTTAGGTACCTACGCTTTTTAGGAAAGTTTTATATGAAACATAATTAATGTGACTAAAAACTATTTTCCTCGCTATTTT